CCTGCTGCAGCCCCATCTCCCTGAGCTAATGCACCACCAAGCAACCTGTATCCTGCTGCTGCAGCCTGTGTCCTGCTGCAGCCCCTTCTCCCCGAGGTGATGCCCCACCAAGCAACAGGCCTTGTCAGTCACCTGCAACCCATTTTCACTCGAGAGGCCCTTTGCATAAACCTATGCTAAGGGAGGCAAAAAGCAAAAGCAAAACAAAATCCATAGTATATCCCCTTCCTTCTAGAATTAAATGAACGTGTTTCCCTTCCATAAATAGGAATAAAAAGAAATTAAATGACATCAGATGAAGACTTTTTTCCACCACTAAGCCAAAATAGACTTCCAGTGCACCCTCCCCCTGCGTATTTACACTGCGAAGAGCCTGAGGCGTGAAGCAAAGCCATGGCGTTGAGAAATAATTTGTCACTCACCCCTTGGTCAATGTTGCTATGCCAACGTCAGTCAGCTTCATTCCTACACCTACAAGGCATCAAGGAAAGAGAGAGCTTGCATTACATGAGCACTCGCAAGAATGTCTTCACATTTAAAAAAGACATAGGTAGAGATATTAGAATACTTACAGATTCATGGTTTTCATTTTGTCACCATTTTCACAGAATATTTTAATGTATCTCAATTAAAAATGGGACATTTGTGCTCTGTATCACTAACAATTTCCAGAAATCAGTCTCATAACACTAAGTTACAGAGCAAGATGATAAACAGAGCAAAATTTGTCCTCTCTGGTGGACAGTCCTGGTGGGGAGATGCTTACTGATGACTGCATTTTAAGAGAACCTCCATAATCTTTGTATATGCCATGAGATGGGTACAGTTATTTATGGTTAGTAACGAGTTTCATGGTTTTATCTGCTTTAAAATTTTGACCAATATATAGCAAAAATCTGCTTTGCAAATCAGCCTGATCAATCAACTTTCGATCTACTCTTCTGGGGGAGCATTTGAAAACATTCTCCATTTGGTGTTCCCAAACACTTTTGTTTTCTTTAACCTGCCTCTTTACACATTTGTTTTAATGGCAGAAGTCAGTCCAACAGTCTGTAGTTTTTTTTCTATACAGAAAAAAACAAGGGTCTCTATGGACCATGTTTCTTTGACAACACCCTACGAAATCTGGAGGAGGCTGCAGGAGAGCTGCTCGAGGGTGCTGCAGGAGGTACGTGTGTGCGTGTCCAACAGCCGAGGTGAAGCGGCCAAGCCCGCGCTGTGCCCCATTGCGCTGGCGCTTGTCCTTTCGTCCTCCCTCCAATTCAATGCAGGGCTCTGCTCTAGGTGCTTTGTTGCTAACGCTCCTGGCCTCTCACGGCCAAGGGCGCGGGCTGGTTCCAAGGATCCCTCTTCCCACAGAGGCCTGGGCGCAGGCTGTGCGCGCCCATCCTGATGGCGCCTGGCAGGCTGTGCRGCTGGGCCCGGCTCGCGCAGCGCAGCGCCCGCAGCAGCGCGGCAGCACCAGGGCACGCGGGACGGGCTTTGCTCTGCCCTTCTTTTATTTAAAAAATTAGGCTTTTTCAGTAGCCAGGATTAGCCAGTCATTCCCTTACTAAGGGGACATCGTGGAAGAACAGTTCGCCTGTCAAAAGCATAAGATTTTTTTGATTTTTTTTTTAATTTTCAATCTCTCCTCCCTTTTTTTTTTCTTTCTTTTTTTTTTATAAGAACACCAGCCAAGCGAGGATTTCCTCCCTCTGCTGCAGCATTTAAGCCTTGTGCTACAGTACGGGCCAAAAAAGGCTTGCCTTGGCTGCCACTGTGGGCAATTAATTAATTTCTTTCTATTCACTAGGGTAATGTGTACACCAAATAAACACAGTGCACTTTTAAGAGATTAGAGAAGAATAAATCCTAACGCTCTCTCCTACCTTCTATTCTGACCTGCATGGGATGCTGGATAGAAAGAGCACACACTGATCGTTTAAAAATCTGTATTTGCGTTGTTTCACCATTCACTTTGCCAAAGGCACTTTCAAAGAGGAAACCTCTGTGCTTAATGAAACTGAAAAAGATTTCAATGAAAATAAAACATAACTTGTCAATAACTTGTCTGCAGTTCCTCTGGCACTGCAATGGCTTGAAGTTTGATTTCTGTGGGTTTGTTTTTGGTCTGGAGGGGGGGCTTCCACGACACCCACCCACCCTGTCGGGCTCCTCTCGCCCGTGTCCTGCTGCGGCAGCCGCTGCAGGTGCCTCTTGCGGGACCGTCTCGTTTCCAGCGGGCCCAGCCTGCAGCGCTGCTCGCAGCCCCTTGCTGCCCAACGGCCAACACAGCCACGGGGACACGGAGGGAACCACGAGCAGCACGGCCACCTCTGCAGCACGAGGCGCACGCGGACAACCCTCGGGGCAGGCTACAGCGCTTCTTTTGGTAACCCTCTTTGCAATAGAGGGCACTAAACACATCTCAGATGCGGCCCTTCTATGTAAGAAGGTTCCTCTTTTGGCCACAGGACTGACCCAGCTGAGACCTGCGGGTTTCATCTGCCCACAGGAAGGTAGCAGGAAATGAGAAGGAGGAAAAGGGCCTCTGGTGGAGCTGCAGAGGCAAGGAAGTGCTCCAAAAAATGCTGAAATCATTAGAGTTGCTAAAAAGAAGCTGTTTATGCTTACCAGAAGCAAAACAGAGTAAGTACACGAAGAACTAACTTGAAAAAAAATTCAGGGTCTCAACCTGAGAGCTGAATGTGGTCCTAAATCTGTAGATCAATCCACTGTAGGTAAAATTTATCTTCCTGCAGTGGCTAAATGTGTTGCTGATGCCCCATTTAGAGATATTAAGAATACAACAGGCTTGGTGGCATTTCACTGTGTGACTCCTAGAGCTGTTGGCAATGTCCAGTCAGAGTCAGGTTGTACCACTTGTGTTGGCAGCAAAGGCACTTAGCGCATTCACAAATGGAGAGGATGGAGCCTGGAGATTTCCATGCGCTGAATGCTCAGTTCTTTTGCACCCCTGGAGTGCTATGTTTTCTGCACAAAAAATTATTTTGATTCCTGGAGGCACTTGGGTTCACATTTGGGCATCTAAATAGACGCCCTGTTCAAACTGCACAGCGCAGGCTGCAATGTGCAGTGATGACCCAGCCCTTCGCTGCGGGCTGCTCTCTGGAAGGCTCCCAAATTCCTACAGGAGCGCCCACATGGACAATGCCGGGCGGGAGGCCAGGCACAGAGGAACCTGAGCCTCCAGGTGAGGGGCACACAGCGACCAGCCACCCAGACGGGGAACCCCTCAGGAGGGATGTAAAAGCAGCGGAAGGGCAGAGCAGCGGCGGTGCCCAGYGCTCCGTGAAGCAGCAGCCAGGCTCCCCAAGAGCAGACCGCGCCTGGGGGCAGCGTGAGCCCGCAGACACCGTGTCCCTGCCTCTGCACACAGCTGGGGCACAGCGGGGCCACTCCTGCCTGCAGAGTCTGCTGGCGCTACCAGCGGTGCCAGGGCATCAGCTTCCAGCGGGGAAGACCCTTCCCAACACGGCGCTGTGGAAGGTGCCCACGCAGCGCGGCCAAAGGCTGAGAGAAGGGGGGCTATGGAAGGAGCCTCTGGCAGCGCTGAGCCCGGCGCTTCCCGCCCGTCCCACAGCAGGAACATTGTTGCTCCCCTCACACAACCCACCTTGCAGGTCTGTGACGAGCAAGCCCCCGTTGGTCCTCTCGTACAGCCAGTGCTGGAAGGTGCAGCACTTCTGGCCAGCCTCTGAGTCTCTGCGCAAGAAATTGATCTCCTTGCCATCCTTGACGGAGTACTTCACAAATTCTCCCACCAGCTCCTCCTCCACCGTGGCATAGGGGATGTTATTTGCAGGGCGATGAACAAGAAAAATAGGAATGATCCTGAAATCAAGGGAGAAAAACTCCTAAACCCCACTGAGCTCTGTCAACAAAGAAGCAAGAGAGACAGTTTGGCCAGCGAGCTCAGTGACTGCCCAGCTACAAAGTCTAATCCAAGCTGGGAGCCACCCAGTAGCTGATCTTCTGGATAGCTCCAGAATATAATTACCTTCTGGTTTACGTCTTATTTATTTATATTATTTAGTCAAATGTAAACGTCCATGCTCAATACAAGCCACTCATTTTTCAATATTAATTGCTTACAGTTTTAACCACTGAGTTAGGCTCATATATGAGTCAGTCTTTGAGAGGTTTTAGGCCCCTGCAAATGTTATCCACTGCAGAAAACGCTTTGTATAAGACAGGTCTAAATGCAGGATTTTCCTGAAAATACAAAACAACTACTTTGTAGTTGTAAGTATGGAAGAGGAAACAAAAAGGCCTCTGAAGAGATCACAAGGATTCTTACAACCAACTGGTTAAGGGAAGATCTAGAATCTGAAGATTCTTGAACTTTGTCAAATTTTGTATCCAGGTTAGAAGACTTCAATTAATTCTGAATGAATCTTTCAGGTAACTGCAAATTGGACAAAATTTACCTGTTTTATTCACTTAGAAATTGAGTTAGTCTATCCAGAAAGACTTGGAAAGTTTTCTAGGAATCTAGGCTAGGCCTGTTTATGAGTAAAGATGCACCATGCAAAAAAATGGGTATCCCAAAAAAAATGGGTATCCAAAGTCAAAAAAACTGTGGGTTTTGCTTAGAGTTCCCAGAATATGACGTGCATATCAACAGCCTGGAAGGGAGCACCTGTCCCACAGGTAACAGGGTAACAGGTAACACGGGCTCCGTGTTGCCTCCAGGTTGCTCCCTTGGGGCAGCCTCCTCCTCCTCATACTTACGTTGCAGTAACGCACCGGGCAGCACTCATACTGCAGGATAAATCTCCAAAAGTAAAACCCTACACATAATAATGAAAGCAGAGAAGTGACATCAGCATACACGAGGGCAGAATTAAATGCTGCTCTGAGATAATGTCATTTGGAAAGTCGGCTGCCACCTGGGCTTTGTCACAGACCAACGTCGTATTTTACCAGCTAGCTCACAAAAAACCCTGGAACTGCCTCAGAACCAACGAAGAAGTGCCTGCCACCATTGCCACAGGAAACAGGTTCCTAGCTCCTTCCTTCCTGCAAACAGCCTTCTCCCTTCCAGCAGCACTGCCAGCGGAGGGGCACAGTTGGTGCCAGGGACAGACTGACTCCAGAGAAAGGAGATCTGCAAACGGCCCCCGTGGATGAGCAGAGGTGTATGTATGTATGTATGTATGTATGTATGACCCCAACAGGTCCAGTCCTCTTCCACAGAGGAGCTTTACAGTCATCATCAGCCTGGTCATGGCTGCAGTATTTCACCACCGTGGCCCCAGCAGACACTGTTAATGCTGGTCCGAAAGGCCATGAGACCAGCAGAGCTTTTCTAACTAGCAACCAGTGCACGTCTCAGTACATGTCTGCTACTAAAGTAACCTGCCCATTCAAAAGATGGTATCACCTTAGCTCTACCAGCATCACTAAAGCCACAGTTCCATCATCAGACAAAGCTTTGTATTGCCCGTATGAGCACTCACAGGAAAAACAGGGACCATGGGTTAATAAAGGTGTCAGTGGTGCTCCCCAGTGGAAATCCAACAGCAGCTCTAAGACCACAGAATCTTCCTGGGTCTCTTCCCCCTTCATAAATGTCTAGCTGCCATGACACTGAGTATTGGAGCACAGTGCTCTTCTTTCCCTATCTTTTACGTATAGCCAAAAATGAGCGGATAGCCTAGGGCTGCAGCCTTAAAATTAGCACTTGAAAACACGGACAGCCTTTCTCTTGCTCAGGAAAGGCTCTCCATTTCCCTTACAAAATATTGCAAAGAATATACCTTCTTTTAAATATAATTTTGCTCTGGCAAGGAGTGGATAGAAGAAAGGAATTCTGCCTTGAAGAGTTGAAACTCAGAAGCCAAGCAAGCCATGCCTATGTGTGCCGGTAAGCATGCCATGCCTACAAACCCCGGCAAATAAGCCATGCCTATGCACCCCAGCAAGCAAGCCATGCCTATGCACCCCAACAAGCAAGCCATGCCTACACACACCAGCCCCTTTCCCTGCTTAGGACAAAGCAACGAGGTCTGCAGCCTCCTCGGCGCCTGCTCGGCACAGCAGCCTCCTGCCCTTGCCACGCGTGTGCTCTCGCTCGACCCTCAAAACTAGAGGTCATATCCTGTCCGCACAGAGACCTCTCAAACAGAAAACTTGCCATACGCAACATCTTTCCAGAAGGAAGCCTGACTTCCAAAAATAGTTACCTAAAATAATTCACCACATCTCTGCCACTATTTCCAATCCTGAGAAGGTTTCTTTAAGGAAACATTCTGGAGGTTGAATTTTAAGTGCTGCTGACATGACTTACTTGGAAAATCTTTATAAGCATCAGCTGTAGAAGCAGCACAGCCTCAATTTTTTTGCCCACGTTTTACTGCATAATTACAAAGCTCCCACTGAGAAATCCTGTGAAATACAGTTCTGGGAATATAGTACCCCTGAGAATTCTTGTGTGAAAACTCCTTTTTTGCTACTGCCTTTTTTCTCTTGCAAACCCTGTGTCACCAAACTGCCAACTTTACCAAAGAGCTGTGAAGAAACCAGAGCAGCCATGCTGAGTGTGCCCAGTGCACACAACGTACCCTAAGAGAATCGCTCCAGCCTTCCTCTTCCCTACGGTGCTGTGTCAAATGGCTGCCACCAAGTGGCATGGATATATGTTCTTCTACTTAGTAACAAGGGGAAGATTTGGTGCAGAAAACAAAAGCACATGCTGTATTTGATTAGCAAAAGCTTAGCCTTTTGCAGTCTGAGTCAAGGCATTAAAATATTTAACTGTGGAGAGGATGCCCAGGACAAGTGACTGGCACTTTCTATGGAGGCTGCTGGGAACAGTTACTTCTAACCTTTTTACAGCGACAGAGCACAGCTGAGAAGATCTTGTGTCATCCAGAGGAGCTGCAGATTTAGTCTGCTGTCAAGCATGTAGGTCTTATCCATGAAGCAAGGCAAGTGGAATTTCAATCATCCTTTGCAAATTCAACTCTGCAGAGTAGCCTGACACCAGAACAGCAAATCCTTTGGAAAAGATCTCTTACCAAACCCTCAAGGCGTCACTTCCCAGCCTCGGGGGCTCTACACTCAGCTACTGGCCTGATGTACTCATACGTGAGAAATGGAAGACCTCTGATACAAAATAAAACAATCTTTTGGACAATCCAGAACCAGAGCCAAGCTTTCTCACTTAAGCCTTCCTTGCTTAGAAAACTTGCCTAAGAAGTGATTCATACTGACTTAAGAAGGAGTATGACTTCCCTCAAGATTTTTTTAATGGGAAATTGAAAGGCCTGACATCTACTGCTGTTATTAGGTAGTATCTGCTCTTACTTTGTTAATATAAATAATTTACTCACAACATATATCAAAATCAGCACTTTTACTCCTTCATCTCTGCTACTTACTCTTTACTGCTTTTTCTCTTTTTCTAATAGAAATGGATGTGTTCTTCTCTAGAAATCACTCCTAGCAGTCAGTGGGCAGGTGTGCCAAGGATGATATATACATATATATATGTGTGTGCGTGTACATATACTCACTCTGGTACTTCCCCAAAGCCTTCCAAAGGTTCAGCTTCTGCTGCATATATCTTCGCATACTCTCTTGCCGTATTTTGGACATAGCACTCCTACATTCAAACAGAGACATCGATGGAATATCACTCAGAACATTTAACAGATTGGCTGTTGGAACACTGGGGAGACAGCTCTTCCGCACAGCTCGTGCRTGGAGAGGAGAGGGGCCCCTACCTGCAGTGCCAGCTTGTAGTTCTTCTGAACCAGGTCGTCCTTGCTCCTGGTGCCGTACATGATGGCGCTGTGCACTTTGAGCACGCAGGGGTGGCCGGGGCTGAAGAGCGGCACGAGGCCGCGCAGCACCCTGCTGCGGAAGGCCTTGCGGTGCATGCCCTCGCCGAAGTGCAGCTCCTCCGTGGCGATGGCGCCGCGCAGGTTCCCGCCGAAGTAGCTCTCGCTGATGGAATCCTCTCGAAACATGAGCTGCATGAATTCGATTTCTTCCAGACCTAAAAGACAAGGCCACTCTGTTCTGCACCAGGCTTTGCTGGCAAAGGGGTGGACATGGGAGGATAAGTGATTTCTCCATTAAGGATTAATGAACAGGCTTTCAGGAAGTGCAAATTTCACTTGTGTTAGGGTAGTGCTGGGATTCCACATTGCTGTTTGTCTGTATTGTCTAAAGTCAGCATGGAGAAATGGGGCAGCTCATGTTCATACAGCAAGAATATAGCCAAAATCAGAGGAAAGAGTCACAAAAGCTGTTCTAAAACCTGTTAATGAAATTGGAAACGGGAGCTTCAAATGAATGTGAATTTGACTGAGCGCTAGTGAGCAACTGAGTGAATAGAGAGCTTTCCAATTGTGTTTTTGGGAAGACAGAGGCAGTAATAAAGTTAATGTGCAGCAGTGTATGCATATATGAATCTAGGAGTGAAACACAGCTCTGTGACCAACTTGCACAAGGCAATTTCAGGAAGCTCTGCAGTTACCCTGGCTTTCCAGCAAAGCCCAAAGACAGACGGACGCTGCTGATATCGCCAGAGCTTGTTTTAGCTTTGGCTTGGAAGCCCTTCAGGGAGGCACTCTGCCCACACGTGCTTTCAGAGGCACTCGGCTGAGCCCCGGTCCTCACCCAGCGCTGCGCAGTGAGAACCTGTCCCCCAGTGAACTGGCCAGAGCAGCCTCAGACCTGCAGACCTGCACGGTAAAGTGTTTATCTCTCTGCAATCTGGCAAGCACCAGCGTAAGAACAGATTCATTCGAAAAGGTAGAAGAGTAAGATTTTTATCTTGTATGTGATTTCCAACCAGAATCACATTTCTATAAATTACCATGCCAAATTCATTCATAGAGCAACTGCATAAATTTGAAGAATCTTTAAATTCTGGATAATTTTGTACTGCAACCTTTTTGTAATCCCTACGCATGGATTTTTAAGGCATCACTAACATAAGCATGTGTGCCTAAGTTTGTCACAGCTGAAATAAAGTAAAATTATGGATTTCACAACTTCAAATTATCACTGAAATATGAATGGACCAAAAATAAAGGGATGAAAAGAAGTAGTTAAGTGCTGAGAGAAAAATGACCTAAAAAATTCTAACTGTATTTCAAATCTTCTTCCACTGAAGTCATCTTCCAAGCTTCAAAGGAAAAGATAAGCAGGAACAGTAAAGGTGTACATCACACAATAATGAATTCTTTTCACTTCCCTTTCATAGTAATCTCCAGTTTAGACTACATAAATGACTCTCTTTGAAGCATAGAGCAAACAGCTCAAGTAAAAAGCTACGATTAGAACGCTCTTTACTTCCACCCACAATTCTCTGTTGATCAAAAGTTACACAGTGCTGCTAAATGCAAAGTCCTGTCTATTTTAAAGATGATCTAAATGTTTCATTTTATTCTTGAAGAAAAAGAGAAATCCACCGGCTGAGCGAAGCGCTTGGCTGGTACAGCGTGTTCCCAAGGGATACACCAACGTGCACTGCCCTCTCTGCAGCTGCGGCGCCGCGCGGCATGCGGAGCGGGCCTGCAGAGGAGCTCAGAGCAGGGCAAGCGCCCTGCACCTCGGCGCGGGCCCTTCCTTCCGAGCCGTCGTGCTGCAGACGACTTGCAAAGCCCGGTGTTGGAGTCCCCGACAGGGTGTGCCCGGCGCGCTGCGGGCGTCTCGGCGGGACGCGCGCCTCCCCCTGTCCCCTGTCCCCTGTTCCCTGTCCCCTGTCTGAGGCGCTGGCGCAGGGAGCTGGCGGGAGCCCAAGCGGGCACCCGCACTCTGCTTTAGCAGCACGTGCCCCTGCACACACTGAGCTGTCCTACAGCAAGTATTTCACCTGGGGAACCTGCGGCTATGAGCACGGAATTTTGTCTTTGATGGCACCGTAAAGCTCAGCGCAAAAGGGAAGGATATCTAGGAAATGCACAGCACTGATTCGGCAGCTTTAAGGGGTTCATACAGCTTCCCTTGGGGTAACTGTGAAAAGGTCACCATGCTGGTAGCCAGTCAGTCTTTGAGGCACTTCTATCATTAGGCCTATGCTTGTAAACAAAATGTGATGAAATACTGCAGCTGTAATGCAGAGGTGAATATCCATGATTTATAGAAGTTAAAAATCCAAATCCAGATCTGAAACAAACTTGGTATTTCTTAAGTAGCTCTCCTCCCCTGAAGCTTATCATTTATTTAAAGTATAAATGCACCTCATAGAAAGATTTGTGATTTCAGAATGGCCTGGAAATGCAGCAACTGCTAAAACATGCTCCTCTACTGCACCTGGCTGGGTGAAAAACAGTGCAATAAATGCAGGGCATTCGAGGGCAGTGCCAGCTTTGTGAGTGCAGAGATTTCACTTCAGAGATACTGTCTTTGAAAAAAAAAGTATTAAAAAAGTATTTTCTTACTTCTGGAGCAACCAGTGGTTGCATCCATGGAAAATGGATCTGAGGCATCCAGGGAGCTTCAAGGGCAGCACAAAGAGCTTCTAGTGGTTTCTCAGCAGGAGGAGGCTGAGCCGGGAAAATGTGGGTGCGCTGCTGAACAGGACGGGTGTGTTAGTGCCGGTAGACACAGACACGGCTGAGGTACTGAGTGCCTTCCTTGCCTCAGTCTCGGTACTAACGATGCCTCCCGGGGTTCTCTACCTAGTGACAGGTTCAGGGAAGACAAAAGCTAACGGCAGTGGATGAGGATTCGTATCTGCCTCTGTTCCCTTTCCTTATTTAGCGTGTTCAGGCCTCCATGTCTGAAATGCTCCTCACTTGCTCCAGAGGAAACAGACCATCACTAGGACCATCTTGGATACAGCAAACTTACTCACACATCTTTGCAATAGAAATAAACTACCTTGGGTCAAATTCGCCAACACAATGCAGCTGCTTAGTAGCTCCTTGATAACACTGAGCAGCCATAAATCCAGTTTAACTGTATGCTAAAAAGAAGACTTGAAAATAGTTTGCMACAGCAAATGAAAACCTCAGTCAATGAATCTGGTCCTTTAGGTTCTGAAGGCTGCAAAACATCTGGTGAAAATAGCACTAATCATTTTAGTCATATTTTTCTATCCTTCCTACCATTTGGAAACCAAAAAGAACAAAGATTTAAGCATACATGTAAGCAAATGTGTACTCACCCTCAAAATTCTGAAAACTTGAGAGATGTTCCAAAACTACAAGGAAACAAAAAGAAACAGAAGTTATAGTAAAAAAAAAAAAAAAGAAAAGAAAACTGCCATTGTTATCATTATGTATTAAAATTATAAACAAGGCTTTACCTTCAGAAGTCAGATTAAATTCAGCAGTCACCTTTCCATAAATATTCTTCAAACAGCAATAATACATTCCCTGGTCTTTGCTACTAGCTTTAGCTATTGCCAAAGAGATGGGAGAGTCATCCTGGGCACTGGAAGAGATGTTAATTTTTCACATTAGTGCTTTTAAAATATCTTCCTGATTATTCCATATATTTCCCCTTCTGGCCCTGGAATTTCTGGCCTCTGCATATCAATGCAAAGACTGATTTAAATGTGATATGAGTAAGAAGGTATACACCCACTTCAATAGAAGCATTCAGCCTATTAACCGTTGCACAACAGATGCTCCTGCTACATCCTAAAAGAAAAATGTACCGCCCACATGAAAGGCCTCTCGGCCTGTGAACCTCTTCACATGCACGACACTGGGTGTCTACATATTCCACAGCAAACCGTGTCCTCCCTGCAGGGACGATGACGACCTGGCTACCGCCTCTAAAAGCTGTTGTGCAGAGAATGAGAGAAGGTGTGCATGCTTTTGTTGCTATTAGCAGGCCAACATGATGCTTCATGACTCTTTGGCACTGTAAACAACTAATTTTACCCAACATAAACGTAATTTCCTAGCAAATATTTGTATTATTAACCAATGTGTATTTTTCAAAGCTGTTTTAATACGGCTGATTTTGTGTGTTGATGGGTTATAACAACTCAGAGATGTATTTCCGCTAATCACCAGCTGCTGAGAGCAGAGTTACGCTGTGCCGCAGGCTCCAGGCTCTGTGTTTCAGATGCTCACATTAGAATACACCAAAGGAAGAAACGGTGCTTGGGTAGACACCAGCCTACTGCGCTAGAGTTTCATCTTGACAGATGTGAGATTTAGAACAATTCCACTGAACTCCATTGAATATTTTTGAAGTAAAAAATGCAAATAAGAATCTCTCTAATATTTAATTATCACATTTTAATTTCAACATTTTAAAATTTATTATAATAATTCCACAAATGGAAAATTCTAATGTTTTGTTATCATATTGTTATTATTGAAAGTTTTAATTTGAATGATAAAACAATGCAAAATTACTCAGCAGAAATATATTCTTCTATGACAGATATTATAAAACTATCATCAAAATCAGTGTAGTCAAAACAATAAGAATCAAAATGAAACAGGAATTCTGAATAAGTAATTTATTTCCTCCATTGAAAATATCATCCTAAGATTTGGCTTCCTAGAAAACCTTTTAATTCTAGCAGAATTGTGCATATCATCTTATGAGATAGTTCGTACAAAACTTTTTAATTTTGTAAGAATTGTGTTTTCTGACAGAAATCATTTCCTTTTCTTTTGGATAAAATTAGTCTTGTGCTTTAAAATATTATAAACAAATTTTAAGAGCTAAAAATGTGGACATCTATGGAAGAAAATATTTTTTGTTTCATAAAACTGGAGCTCAGGTAAGCTTCTAAGGAAAGAGCTTAGGAAGTTTTTATATTCCACCCCTGTAGCTGCACTGCCATTGGGTTTAATGGCCAGATTGAGGAGTGATTTCACTTTCTTTAACTATAATTCCCTTTAGTCCAATCAGCTTAAAGCTCTATTTGCAGGAGAACATAACGTTCAGAGGAGTGACCACGCCAGGCTCTCCACCGCACACGAGTTGCTTTTAGTAGGTCTCAGGCACTCCCCTCTCCCACAGGGACAGCCTTTCCCGTACCAACCAGATGTGTTTATATCGCTTGGCCTGGCTGCTGGGGGTGAAACTGCACGTGATCTTTCACAGTACTTGACAGCTGCAGCAGGCTGGTTATGAATGGGCTGAAAGAAGCCACGGGTGATGGAATGCCAACTATGCCCAATATTAAAGAAAGAGCTGTGCGATAGTATTCTTCTTAATTACCCTGTTTATTTTGTTTTTTTCCCCAGTCATATTAATTTAGTTAACAGGTACAAGAGTGTACCACTGGCAAAATCAGTATTTTCCCAACAGCTATTCAGAATTTATCAGAATTACCTTCAGAAACATCTACTGACCTTCTCTGCAGTCGAGCAAGTAACTTGGAATCCTTGGTCCAGGTAATGGTGGAGTCGCCATGGATGTCGCCAAACTGGCAACACAGCTTAATGTTCCCAGAGCAGTCAGGGAATAACTCTGCTTGTATCTTCTTCACCAGTTTGGGAGCTTGAAATGAAACAGCCACAGTTAAGGACTACAAGATAACGATACCATTTTGGCATTGTGAAGGAGTCCCAAGATGGTTTACAAGTGTTTATAATATGAACCTGACAATACTATTCTTCCTGATACTGAAACTGAGACTGTAAAATACGGAGGTCTTAAAAAAATGAGCCAGTGACCAACATGGTCAATGGAAATATTCCCAACASAAAGGCATTTTGAATTCGTGGAATGAGACCTCATGGAAGATCTACTCTGGAAAAGCACCAACATGAAAACATTTCTTACTCAGAATATGTTTTCTCTGATTAAAAGACCAGCTGGTATTAAAGATACCACAAAGGCAGAGCATATTATACAGTGACACAATGATATTTTTTAAGAAAATGACAGCATTAGCATAAAACCTAATGTGAAGAAGTGAAAATAAGGCCTTAGGTCTTGAGACGTATCCACAGGAGCCACAAAAACATCTGTTTAGCTGGTGTGTTACTGCTTTCCACATTTTGCTTTACCTGTTGGTAACCTCCTAGAGACTACGGCTAGCAACTTGATTCTCATTTCAAACATGTTTTTCATGTGAGGTTAATATTGCTAATTTCATCAGCATCATTGATGCCTGGTAATGGTGAAAACGAATGCAAAACCAGCCGTATATCTTCAGACACAACTGGGGAGTCACAGTGCAGGAGTGCAATTGGGAATTTAAGCCTGTGGGAACATAAAAACATGATCCTCCTCGACTGCAGTTACTACGGTCTGTGTAGTTACACAGTAATAACTTGCTATACCTTCCTGAAAATTGGCTCATACCCATCAATGAAGGAGAAGCTTCTGTTTCAGAAAGTAGGAGAAGTTCACAAACACATTTGTCACCCACAGCGGGATTAGATTTAGATTGATGCACATTTGCTTGCAGTGTGTTGGAAAATAATTAATTAGTTAATAGTGCGGAATTTAACACTCTAGTCAAAAGGGCTGGAAGGAACAGAAACAGGAATAGATTTTCTCCTACCTTTGCTGTCCTTTTTGCAGAGCAGCTTCCTTTGCTCTTTCCTTTCTTCCCTATGGGTGAGGCCTGCCTCACTCCTCGCGGGCTTTCTCACCCCGCTGGGACTCTTGCTGACGTTTCCTCTCTGCTCCAGACGCGGTTTCTTGGGCAGTGCCACTGGCGGCAGCTTCTCCTTGGCGCCAGGAGCTGGGTGCCCTCCGTTGGCTGGGTCCTGCCTGCACCTGCCTGGCTCGAGCTCGGCAGCAGCCGGAGGTGTCGCRGGAGGCTTAGACCCTCCTTGATTCCCCGGCCTTTCCGCTTTGCCTGGGAATGMGTCGTCCGCGGTCACTGCGAAGGAGCAGGGCTGAGCTCTGCTGTGAGATGGGTGCTCCTGGAAACACTGGTCATCCCCTGAAGCAACTGGTGGCAAGTTACCTAAACCACCCGCTGCCCTCGCTGACGCCTCTGCTTTTTCTGTTTGATCGGTACGCCGAGGAGACTCGGTAGATTTAGCCGAGTTTGCAGCCCCAGCCAGCGTGCTGGAAGAGATCAGGTCAAGGCAGGACTGCTGAAGGGAGTGACCCACACCCTGCTCGCCAGCCTTGGAGCTAATTAGAGCACACAAAGGAGGCCTGATTGCAGCTTCACTTGGATTGCATTCCTTGGCTCTTTGAATTTCTTCTTTCCCCTGCAATACTGCTTCATCTTTGTTCTTTTGGGGTGAATTATGGAATTGACCTTGCAATGCTTCRGGGAAAAATTCCAATTTATTCAAATTTTCATCCACTTTGACTACAATTTGTGTGGATTTTGTCTGTACTTGACTTCCTGTGCTGGAACATCCCATGGCTGACATGCTGGTACTAGAGCCCTCCAAAGGGCCCCAGCGTACAAGGAATGGTGATGCCCCCTTGGTCGGTGGCTGGATATCCACTTGATCACTGGTGTCTTCATACTCCTTGTTTGCAACGCAGGGGAGCTGGGTTTGAGCCCTGCCAGGCTGTGGGGCGCTATGAGGTGTCGTGCTCCCGGAGGCGCACGTGTGACTCCTTGAAGAATTTGTTTTGAACATTTCAGGAGGCTTGGAGGTCTGGTGAACAGAAAATACACCTTGTTCTGACGTGCTGTGAGGGGAAACTGCAGGCTGACTTTCCGAAACGTGTTTAACTGCTGTGCCACAGGAAGCATCAGCCTTTCGTTCACTGTGTTCATATTTGGGCACCTCTACCAAAAAATCAGTTAAAAATGGATCCTCATTAGATGGAATGAACGTCTCTTCATGCTTTTCTATCTCTGTCACTTGGTGTATRTTTTGGGGTAGATTCTTACATGCTCTGGTTTCAAGAGCCTCACTTAAATCAGGCAATTGCACAAGGCAACGACAATTCTGTGCATTAGAAACAACTTGAAAGTCTTTACAGTCATTTTTTGAAAGATGGTAACAGTCAGAATTCATGTCATTCTGTGTGATCAAGTCTGAGTGATTTCCTTTCGCCTGTAAATTCTCTTCAGCACTTTCAGGTACACCCTCAACAGATAAGTGTTCGTCATATGCAAACTGACTGGCATTTTCATCACGGCAGTTCCTGGGAAAAAAGTCCTTCTGTTCATGGAAATAAGTAAGTTTATTTCTTGATGGATAACAGTCTTTAACATTGGAGTATTTACCAGTATCTGCATCTGTGCATTTATTTATAGTTTCATTTATCAAGGATATGCTCTGATCAGTATAAAGTAATTGTCCAACAGACTTCTCTGACATATAAGCTGGCTTTTCCTTGGCATATTCAAAATTACTGCTCTGAGCATTTTTTAATCTTTGAGGAGAATCCCCATCACAGGTTTGCAGAGCGTTACGAGCAGGTGGCTTTCCTTCCTGGACAGCAGTCATCTCAACGGATCCACCATCGCCAGTTAATGTCTGATCTGTTCTTTGCTCCAAGCACTTCTCTACATTTAATACACTGTTTGCTGACATATGAATGGGTAGTGTTTCTTTTTTGTTTCCAGTACCAGAACCTCGATGTATACCAAGTGTTTCTACCCTCTCAGCAAAAGAAGTGTTTCCTATGCATGCACTGTTACATGCTTCATCTGTTTTTAGGAGGATATTAGAAACGTTGCAATCTTCTTTCTCCATTCTTTTTCTACAAATTGGCTGTATAATTGGTTGTTCCTCTTCTATTAAATTCATTGACACAGAATGACTAGGACAAGCCTCCTGTGCTAAGTTCAGTCCTGTGACTTGGACAGCCTTTGGCCTAACTTCTAAACTTGTGATCCCCCGGTTTTCAAACGGGACCTGACAGTGTGAGTCAGCCTCAACAAGAAGCTTCCACAGCTTGTCATGCACTGCCGATAAATCAGCATCTCCTTTGCACCCGGTGTCTCTAGATTCCTGGGCTGTCTTGCCACCAGCTTCAAACTGATATTCACCACATGATACAACACGGAGGGCATCTGTGTCATTGCTGTGATGTGAGTCAAAACTGCACCTCTGCCCTCCCTCCACTGGCTCACCGCATAGCTGTGCAGGAGACAGAGCTGCACATAAATATTCCTGTCTGTCAGGAACAGAGCCTGTATCCCATAAAGAAYGAGCTGAAATGTCATTTGTTGACTTGCTGCCATTGCTAGTAATATTAATTCCTTGTTCCCAGAGGAATTGTTGCTGATGACTTTCACTCTTCTGACATGGATCGTGGTGTGGAGAGCAGGTTTGTAAAGCTGTACCCTTTGCTTGCAGTGCATTTTCAGGACAGAGCACTCCTGATGCTGGCTCGGGGGTGACTGCGCTCTCACCAGCCATGAGGATGGTGTTCTTCTCTGCGTCAGGCTCTACGCATCGTCTGTCATAACTCTGCGTAAAGTTATTAGCACTGGCATCTTGACTCTACAAAGAAGAAAGAAACAAAAAGCAGATATATAAAATACAGTGTAGCTAAGCATTAGCGCCCCTGCTAGMCTGGATCCAAATGCAGAGGAATATAAATTTGATCAAGGAGAAGACCAGTGAYCAATGACACAGCTTAGCCAATTAAAATCAAATAAAATTTTTAAAAAAGCMATGTCTATGCCTTGCAAAACTGACAGGCTGTCCCACCTGCACCCTAGGGTCCTACTGTGCCCTAAAAATACAGCATCATGAAAAAGCCATGAAAAGAGCTAAAGACTCACTGAAAATTATTGTGCCAGTAGTAAGCTACAGGGATAATGGAAAGAGAAAGAAAAAGAAATGGAAAGAAAGAAAAAGAACATGGAAAAGAGAAGAAGAAATTTAAAAGGATCTTCTGAAGTGGCCTCTGAAGTCCATGGTCCCAAGAGCATGAGAAATCCATGACAGTTGCTGCCAAGCGGGACAGGGACATTTTTCACCCTAGATACACCTGCATACCAGGCTCACCAATGGGGTAACTCCCCACCAGGAAAAGGTTTGAAAACTCCAGAGTCATTTCAAGAAGGCTGTGACGTGGCCAACAGCATAGCAGCTTCCAGGGGTGACTAAGTGTTGTGCGTGTGAAGCCCAGAGCCCCCAAGACGCAGTATAACTGCCCAGTTACTGCCCCACTGGAGCCCTCCAACCTGCCTCTGAAGGCACCGTTGGCTCTTCCTCTCTGGAGAGTATCTGCTGCCTCCTGTTTTCTGAAGATCTCAYGCTAGGGGCAGAAGGAGATTCTAGTGTCCAAAATAAGCTTTAAGAAAAATTATTGCTCCCAAGCCCTGAATTTCTCATCTTAGATAATACTTCCATTTCCTATGTTTTCCTCTGAATAGATCCTGAAGTTTTGTCYCTGTTGTACTCACTTCATGTTCTATTTTGAAGCAACAGCTTTCATTGTTTCCCATTATCCTCAAGCATAACTTGAGCTGTCAAAACAGGCAGTTGTGTTTGGCTGTCACTGCACCAGCACTACCAAATGCTACACCAGTCTCCAAGGAAGTTTAACAAAAGATTTGAGTAAGAATCCCTCAAATATCCTACAGCAACAAAGGATCACCCAAAATGTGGACAGGATGCAGCAATACTTGGAGCAATTGTCTTCGAGCAATACTGCATTAACGTGCAATGGGGAATGCTCAGGGCATTCGAAGCAATGCCCAATGCTACGAAGATGGCTATGCTGCAACATGTATAACTGCATCACGGAATCCCCAGGAAGGATTCCCAAGGAAAAAGCAGGAAGTTTGAACAAATAAGAGTAATCTACAGGTATCCTGGCTCCAGCCCTGTGCCTGACAAACTGGCCCAAAGGAAACATCAGTTACTTATTTTATAAAGGTAAACATTAGTCTAGTGCAGTCCACAGCACAGTTGTTTTCCATTTTAATCTTCTTTTGTAATTTTCAGCAGCAAATTGTTTTGTCTATGGGAAGTGCTGAGTTTCCGCTATGAAATCTGAGACCTTCACTTACAGATAAGGGAGAACAGCACAGAAACCCGACTCTTGCTGGAGTTCAGGGGAAGTTCAGGTAATTACCTTCATTAGTCACTGTCTGGATTCTCTAACAAAAGCAGCTACAGACAGGCCAAATCACACAGGACACTCTGGAAATGGGAGCTGCTCAAGAGCCTGAGCAAAAYGCCCTTAGTGCCAAATCTGTGCCGTGTGAGCAACGCCCCATCTCCCCCTAACGCAACAGAGTTTGCTTCTGGAGCRAGTGAGAAACCGTCACATCATGTGCAAACACAACCATCTCAACCATAGGCACTAATTARGGCCATTCTGGCTCTCCTCTCCCTACAAAATCTAAGGATAATTTAYACACCAGTCTCTCCCCAGATCAGCTGAACACTTCCAGTTCAGCTGATGAAATGAGAGCAAGAGGTTTGTCCTGCAAATGAGATGATGAATTCCACCTTGCTGTTTCTCACTGCTTCTGAAGAGGAAATAGTGCAGGAAGGTGCTTTTCCACTATAGACAGTCTTCATGTCACTTTCCATCCTCTTGCTGATGCAAATGGACTGTAACAAAACACATCTAGAACATGGACAATAAGCACAAGGTGCCTCTAGATGAGAACACCCTCATACTCGTTGTGCTTGGAACTGCTGCTGGTTCACACTGCTCTCCAGCAGGAGCTCCATGGCTCTTTCTCTTTCCCTGTATGTGCAAGGCCACCCAAATTCCTCTTTCCTAAAATAACACTCTGCATTAAATGGCATGTCTGTACTGGATTAGCTAAAATAACTCAGTATCTGTACTTGTTGCAACTGCTG